TTTGATGTGTAAACATCTGTTACATATGCATGCGCTACATAAATGTGTGGGTTAGGTTAGAAATTAAACATTAATTTCATGTCATTTTAATCATTTTGTAGGGACCAGTACATGACTTTTTCATATCCACTTCGGGAATAGTTCAGGACTATTTCAGCATTATTTCCGTGAACTACCCGAAATGGTTCTGAACTAGTCCCGAAATGAACCCGAACTAGTCCCGAAATAATTCTGAACTAATCTCAAATAGTCCAACACTAATCCCGCTACTCCGAATATAGATTTCAAATTGTTCAAATTCAAATGATGCCGAACTAGTTGCCAAAAAGATCTCGAACTAGCCTCAAAATAGTCGGGAACTACTCCCGAAATGTTCCTGAAATATCGCTGAACTACTCCAGAAATGTTCATTTGTACACACAAGAAGCAATTAAAAATTTTACCCATACCGAGAAGTATGATGTTTACACATCAAAACTAATTAACAATGAGTTTATAACGATGGAATAGTAATCAAATAACTGTCTAAGCTATAAAAATACCAAATGATATTTGAGCCAAAAAAACAACAATTAAACATACTAAAAATAAAGGGAAAACTTGAAAATCGAAAGTACTTTGCATTGACAGTAGTCAAAGTTTTGTGCTTTTCGTTGCTAATTCAGTATAAGCGAATACGACCAATCTAAGGAGCGAAATAAACCACACAAGCGGCTTGTCAAACCTACTTCAAAATTGGTTTTCGCCATACACCATACAAAGCGTGAATCGTTCAAGCAGAGAATTTTAGTTTTCTTCCGCTCCAAAATTTAAACAAATTTGACATTCTTCTATTATTTCTACCACGTCCTCCACTCTGTGAAAATGAGGCGATTTTGCCATCCATGGATTTTTGTACAAATTTCGCTCAGCCGGTGTGTCAATTATTCAGGCAGCCCCATACACACAACACAAACGGTATGAAACAAATGGAAATTTTGCTTGGTTTGCCCAACAGTTTGCGTGGTTTATTTCGCTCTTAAAGTAACCCGTGTACGCTTAGGAACCTACAAAAAGCTCGAATTATTTTTTCACATTTTTACTATAAAAATCGTTTCAAAAAACAAAGCAACTTATGACTGCAAATACTCACTTACGCTGCCGCTTGATTACCAGCCGCCGCTGCCGCTCCAGCGCCGCCACCGCCAACAGACGCAGCACCACCACCACCACCACTGGCGCCACCCCCACCTCCACCGCGTTGCACTCTCATAAAGTTACGCGCATTCAACGGAAATGATCTGGGATATGTGATTAACGCCGAGCCCAATGCTAAACTTAGCGGCGCTTTATGCCGTCCTGGCAGGCTAATAAATACCGTGCCCACCGCCGCTAAGTTGTCTGCCGTTGGCTCAACCGCTATCAACAGTATCTCAGCTGCATGTGCACTGGCGGCTAGATGACGCGAACGTGCCCCCGTAATGGCGGTACGCACCGAACGCGTTGTTGATGGTGCTGGCTGTGGACTTTCCATATCTAATGCGCCTGCTGTGAGGAAGACGCGCGCAAAAGGCCGCTTTGCTAAATGCAACATTTCGACGACGTGTTGACGTCGCGCACGTCGCAAATCGGCCGCTTGCTTCACCTTCCACACAACCACGCATACGGCCAAGAAGAGGAAGAAACATGAAAAGAAGACAGAAAAGAAAACGAACAGGTCGATGTGTAGCTGATCTTGACGGAATACGACCGAACCATAGCTGGGCTCTGGACCGGCACCGGCACGTAGAGCGATGAAGAAGCGTGTAGCGCTTAAATTGTGTGCATTTTGTGGTAGCGTTAGGACTAAACGATTTTTGAGTCCGAAGAGTCGCAGCAGCGTATTGCAGTGATTGAGGGTGACATGCGTACTCAAGTCCTTGGCATGTTTGTCCTTCACGAAGAAGCTGTGTCCGCCATGACTCTTGCAGTCTTGTATATGTGGTCCGTAGAAGGTGCTGCGTTTGTCGTGCATCACCAATTTGCTTGCGGTAATGTTATCGGTGCGCGGCATTGCTATGTGTAATGGATGATTGCGTTTCATTTTTGGCACCCAATTGTAGCGATTGTCCAGGAATATCTCATGGAAGCCCGTCGTATCGTTGGTCTCCACAATGAAGGAGTCATCTTGTGGCGACATGAACACATCCAATTCGCCTTGGGTGACATCGATTATGATGCGTATGTCGACGTTCATGAAGCGTGGTTGTATAACGAAGAAGACGGTTTGACCCGGTCGCAGTGCCGCCGGCTTCGATTTGCACTCCTCTGTTGTGGGATAAAATTGTAGACAATGAATGATTAGCGCGTTTTATTGAAATTTGTTTAAAAATTAATGCTGAAATAACGATCATAATGAATAATTAAAAAAGTCTGCAATATTTTGTTGGGCTTCGACAGGTTGACAATCAGAATTTATGGACTCCAATTCATATGCCTGTTTGTTGACCTCATTGCATTTGCTTGTCTTGAGCAGGATCCCGCCGTCTACATTTTTTTTTACATCTATTTCTTCTCAGATGAGATTAGGTGTGCAGCTTTTTAGATGTAAAACCTCGTCCCTCATGCCGTCTGGGCAACGGCAATAGCCCTTGTGTGGGATGCGGTTGTGGTTGTTGTTGTAGCAGCTACTCAACCCTTGTCCATCAAACGTTATCGTCCGGCTCAACTAACGACAGCCCCAGGAAGTGCGAAACTTTCACGGGGTTTGTCCAAGGGACAAGGGCGTTAGTTAGCTAAATGGGATTTTGGGGGCATGCGAAGAGGTGCCGTTAGTCATGTGTGCACTCTGCTCAGGTACGAGTTAAGCCCGCTGCAATATCCAGAGCGAAGTTGGGCTATTGTGGTGCGAGGCTCCCGAGGCATATAAAGCTCGGTCCCATCCACGTCGGATGGTTGTGTGCCCAAAACGGCATTCACAGGTCGGGAGTGGATGTAGGTTGAGACTGGCTTCCTGTAAATGCCGTTGGTATGCTGTCGGCTCCAGAGGTTGTGTTATGAACCTCTGGGCTTCGTACAACAGTTCGTATGGATGCCTCCTGACATGCTTTGGCGAGATCTTTGCTGCAAGCAGGTGTCTGTTCGGGTGAGCCCGTCTAGGAACTGCTTGCAGAGAATTCTGTTATTGATGGGAAGCCTCTGGGCTACCAGTCGCGGTCCAGAGTGCCGTATTCTGGCATGTCTTTAGCTTCGACCACTGCGTCCTGCATAGTTTATAACCGACTGTCCAATTGCCTTGCATGTTGCCTACAACGTCTCTTTGTCTTTGCCCCAGGTGCTGCCGGCTAGCGACTTGAGAACCTTGTTGCGGCTCTGTACTCTATTGACAATTGCGGTGGTATGCGCCAAGAGGGAGAAGGGATGCGGTTACCAACCCTTGTGAAACTTGGCCCTAGAAAGAGGAGTTTTAGTGAAACTCCCGACTGGTAATCACTGCCCACCAGGAGCAATGTTGAAGAACATCGCCGTCATCTTGGCAAACTGGAATAACTTGTTGTACCCTGTTTTGGCAGCGTTCTCTAGATTAGGCTGAACACCTGCTCCCATTAGATTAATCCGCAGTCCGCTAAGGGCAGTAAACTAGCAGAGCATATGTACCACTGCCTCCTCGAGCGTTCTGCTTTCCCTACAGATCCTATAATTGATCAGAGTTAGCTTAAAGGCGCCCGAGGCCAGCAGGCAATGTCCCACTAGTACATGAACCAGCAGCAGCCTAGCGTTCTCACTCTTGGGGGATAAGAGAACCTGAGTGAGCTTTATTCTTACGCTCTGCACATAAACATGAATATTTTACAGTCTTGTGTTTTGGTCCACACTTCCTGCGCCTTCCGGATCGTGCACAAGTTGAGCCCATGCTTGAAGACGAATCGGCACTTCCTCTGATGAAGTCTGTGCGATAGTAGCCCCTTTATCGCAATCTGACTATTGATATACACATTCACCCCTTTATTTGATACGTTGCTGCTCGGTAGCTCCAACGCCTTCCTTCTGGCCTGGAGAATGTTACAGTGGTCTGGCAGTATATAGGATTTGACACAAAAACATTTGCTGCCTCTGCGCCTTTCTTCATATTCGACTTGTCGGTAAAGACATTCCTTTAAGAAATGTTTTCTTCTCTATTACTGTCAACCAAACCAATACCTCGTGGAATAGTATCGCCCTTACTATTGCCATGAATATTCCTTGAGAAAGAGACAGCAATAATTCCACTGAAGCCTTTGGCCTTCTTCGCTCTCTCCTCCATATTGAGGCGCCACGACAGCTTACTGCCGAGTGCTTTGCTTTAGCTGGCGGATCGCACTATCCAGCTTAGGCTTAGGCCAGCTCGGAACCTTGTATTCCCGGGAGAAGAGGACCACCCTTATGGCTTCGGCATTGTTCAAAGTCTCACTTTGGTTGCCTAAAGATTTATCTCCTGTAGTGTTTGGTTCATAAGTGAGCTGACTGTGGACAGACAGATCTATATGTGTAGTAAATACTCCCTTTTGACAACAATCAATATGCCTTCCAATCGTCACAGTCTCAGAAGAAAGACTACGAAATCTTTGTGAATATCGAGTTTACTACATGCCAAGGCCTAGGTATAAATCACAACTTCGATAAAACGGGCCACATTCTGGACGACCTTTATGTCTGGCACAAATGGGTAGATGATAAAACATTTCATCAAATTGCAAGTGTTCTTATTTAGAACAAGAGCGCTACATTTAAGGTCTATGCTAGGACAGGAAAATGATCTTTTTTTTTCAATAAAAAAAACCTCCTGTCCAAATGACAGACGCTTGTCAACTATGTTATAGTACATACCGCGTCAAGAGCAAAGCGGTTGGGTTTATCTTCCTAATTAGATGCAGATTTGCAGTCACTCTTGATGAAAAGCTCTCAGGGAACCCACTGCCTGGACATATTAATGTATAAGTACCAAAAACCAGGCCCTCAAAACTGAGATGCGTTCTTCTGGCTCAGTTGCGGTCTGGATACTGTAGCCGTTTGAGCTCCTACCTATCCAGACTCGACCCCTACATACCAAATGAATCTTCACATGCTCACTCAAACCTACAACGGCACGTTTACGGGGTCTACCGTTGTTTTAGCTTGACGACGATTGAGGAACAACCGCTAGAACAAAAACAACAACAACAACAACCTGAAATAAGAGTGATCAGGGGGTCCATTTACGTAAATGATTTAGAATCCAGAATACGCTTTTTTATTAGGCTGGGGTTCACGCCATACAACTCGTCTGAAACGGTAGGCGAAGAGAGAGGAAACTAATAAATACGCAGTCGGAAATCAAGGATTGCGAGATTTGCAATACTTGTAAAACTTGGATGTAATGCCACAAAGACCAAACTTCGCTTTCTAGGATAAATTCGTCTGGATCCATATGACATGATCGGCATTTGGCCAACCGATTTCTAGAGGCTCCTAAATAATGCGTAAATCAGCGCAACCGCTTCGCAACGTTGCGGTAGAGCTAATTGCGTAGCATAGCGAGCCAGTTTATTGCGACACGAAGGGAAATCAAGTGTTACCGAGTGAAAAGAAGGGAAAACATAGAGCTCCTTAAGAAAAATAAAATCAAGACCGACGCATGCAGCCCGAAAAAGTTATTGAAAATAAAACGGAATGCATCGATCTCAATACATTGCTGCAAGAACGGGTTAGTAATAGACGTACAGAGTTTTTTCCGAAAGGATGAGAAGATGATGTAACTATTTTGGAATGAAAAATTACCCTGACGATGGCACAATCTCGAAACCGGTTTGTCTCCAAACTAGACACGGAAATTCTTCTAAAGTATAGCAATGCCGGTGCCATGTTTAATGAATGGTGAAAAGTACAGAGAAATGCGTAGAAACGAAGAGCTCACGCTCTTGAACTTGATGCAGAATATGTGGCTCAAAATGACCAAACCCGAGCTGTTTGTATGCACTTACCAGCTGCTAAGCGCATTTTGGTCCGATATATATACACACGAATATTGGAATCCCAGTGTACTTTGACGGCCAAAGTTTGACCAAAACTTACAAATTCTTATAAAATAGTTATCGAGTGATACCACTTCTTGACAAGCTTTGGTAGAGGCTTAACATGCACATTGTCGTTCATGGTGTGGCCGTAAAGGAAGCGCTCAACCTTGACATAAAAATAGGAAAGCTGGGATAAAGTTGACTTAGAAATCCGCACTTACTACACTATACCTGGTTGCGACTTCAATAAAATCAATCATTACTCTAAGAGGAAAATCCAAATTCCGTGCCACGTTGGTATCGCAGGGACAGTTTCTGAAACTCAAGAGATCTGGAATAATGTATTTATTTCGTCATTATTTTTATACTTTCGGAACCATAGAAATGGAGTACAGGAGTCATTCCCCCTACCGGACCAGTGTATCGTCCTCCAGGCCGACTTGCGGCAATACAGGTGTATGCCGAATGAGTAAGACAGCAGCAGTTGGTTACAGCAATACCTATATTTTCTCAGACAGTCAGGCGGCCTTATAAACCTTAATCACACGTAACTTGAAAACTGTAGTGAGGTGCCGCAGATCACTTCACGTCATGGCAGCGCAGTTCACTCTTCGCCTGGTATATCTGCCGGGACATAGCATTCAGCACTTAACTTCCACTTTCGCGGTCTTGAAAGCGGATTAGGGCGACTGCTCAAGTTTTTCAACTCCACATACTGGATTTGTACGGATCCGAGTAAAGGCCTAAATGTGTCCACCGGCAGACAGTTTAACCTAGTCTAACCTAGAGGAACCCTGGTTATGGGAATATGGCTTCTCCTGGCACTTGGCACTCACACAGCGCACTCAGTAGTAGAGCAGAAATATAGATCTCTCCGCATACGCGCTCCTAACTTAACAAGCCTATGATATTAGGAATGCCAGTCTGTAGATCGAGCAAGGAATTACTACTGCCAACAGGTGATACTTGGACACGGTAGACAATGCTCTCACCAAGTCCGTATTTTCACATGGTGTATAAACCCGGTTTATTTCGAAAAGGGATGCAGATCTGTTGAGTTCTACTCAAGATCCAGTGCCTTGGATCTGTGAGCTAATTAAGAAGGACCTGTTTACCTTGCTTTAGATAGATATAATGGACGATGTGCATTACGACCTTAGGTCTATTGTGTTCTCATAACTTATCACAAGATCGCGTCTAGCCCTGAAGCACTAATGAAACCCCGTAATTTGAGGTAAATGTGCGTAGTCTCTGGCAATAGTTCTACCGAACGACGTTGCCTTCTTCTAGCAACAGTGCCGAGGAAAGTTCGAAAACGTTTACGTGGGCTCGCAGCGTTAAATGCTTCCTGATATGCCGTAAGCTTCCCGAAATCTTGAGATTTTAATTCCTATTAGTCTTTGCCCTGCTGCAGGCAGTCCGAGTTACCCCGATGGGGTTTCCTAAGCAGCCGTTTCTNAATTTGAGGTAAATGTGCGTAGTCTCTGGCAATAGTTCTACCGAACGACGGTGCCTTCTTCTAGCAACAGTGCCGAAGAAAGTTCGAAAACGTTTACGTGGGCTTGCAGCGTTAAATGCTTCCTGATATGCCGTAAGCTTCCCGAAATCTTGAGATTTTAACTTCCTATTAGTCTTTGCCCTGCTGCAGGCAGTTACCCCGATGGGGTTTCCTAAGCAGCGGTTTCCCTACTCTTAAATTTTGCCTGACAGTATGAGGGCCTACAGCAAGATCTCTTTGTCAATCTATCAGCCTTTACGCCGTGCCTAGATAAAATAGTTTTTCAAACGCTGTGGTCAAGCCTAACTGACGTGCTGTTTTGAGGAAGTTGGATCAAAGAAAAAGAAGCTTTAGTTGAGTGAGCTTGAGATGGCATGTGTAGGGATGGTTTGTGTCATGCGGGCAGCTTTCACATTCGGGCGGGACGTACGTAGGATATGCCGGCTCGTCGTGTCCTATATGTCGTGCTCGCGTCCGTAGCACCCTACCAAAAACTTCTTGCTATGGAGATAAAGTTCTGGCTACGCGCGGCGTTTTGGCAAGTCCTTAGCTTCGTTCACTGCGTCCAACTAGTCCCCGGCGACCAAACAAGCACCGCATAGTTCCATGGCACCGATTAGATCGGCGAACCCTATAAATCTCTACAACGTCGATTACTGTGGTTGTACGATATACATATGTAGGTCTGAATCACGCACTGTGAGTTCGTAGATAAGTCTTCTGAGGTGTCTAGGTGTTCGATTCGATTGGTCAGAGCATTACTGCCCCGATATATAGCAGCATCAGAAGTCAGTCCGTTTCTGCACGGAGTGCGGGGTTCTAACGAGCTTGAAGCTTACCTAACTGCATCCTACTTGTCCCAGGTGAACAAAGAGGTGCAGCAGAGCTTATAACTAGTCGGTAAATTTCCTTGAATGTAGCCAACAACGTATTTTGTCCTGCGAGATGTTCACGGTCAGTATGGTAGCCTCCTAGTGACCAACATCAGTTGAACGGCATTATGTTGGCAAATTTCAATCTTATAAAAACAATGGCGTAACCTTCCGCTTCTAAGAAGCTTGGTGTGCCTAGTTCTATCTATAAACTTTTATCTAGTATTCATGGGGCTCATAGTCTGAAGCTTTCCGATATATGCGTTGACCGCGTAGGATAGAATAAACAACAACCAGAACCAACATACAAATGAACAAAAAAATTACTTACCAATCGGCTTTGCATCGAAGCACATGCGTGATTCCACTGTTATCTGCTTGTAACACTGATGTCCATCAATCGGATTGCCCGCGTAGGAGTCTCGACACTTGGAACACTGCACACTCCAGCAAAGTTGCGCTGAATTTTTGCCACCACCTGCCGTACATGTAGCATCGCTCTCCGTGTTATTGCCGCAATTGCACTTTTCCCCGGTGACCGGATCGCAGATATTGCCATGCCCATGACACTGACAAGGACGACAAGCTCTGTGATGATCCTCACTACCACGGAAATAACCAACAATACATGTGTCACAACGATCACCAGCAGTGCTATTCGCACAACGCAAGCAAGTGGCGTTGCTCTCAGGACCCTCGAGCAGAACCTCCTCCAGCTCAGCGCGTGTCATATTGAAGTACGACGCATCGGATTCGTGTGCCAAGCAAACATCTGTATGACCGTTGCAGTAATCCAGGCATGGCACACATTCGTGCCCTTCCTTTGGATTGCCCACATATAACGGCTTACACTTCTCGCACTGGTCGCCCTTCGTATTGTTATGGCACTCCAGACACACATCGAGCCGATCAGGTCCTTCACAGTTGGAATGACCATTGCACAAACATTGTATGCTACAGTTGGCACCGACATAGCCAAAGTCACAAGTGCAGTTGTCCGGTTTAATGCATTTACCGCGCACACAGCCCTGACTACAAACTGGCAGACAAGTGCCATTTTCATCGCGATAGCCTACGCCACACTGGCAAGTGTACGCGACCTCCGTGTCGATACAGCGCTCCGATATGGGATTACAATTGTGATGACCATTGGTGCACTCATCCTCAGCCGGGCACTTAACGTAGTGCCAGGAGACCACATCGGCAGGTGTAAGTTTAGAATCATTGCGCCACGAAGAATAAATCAAGTCGCATGTAGAACCGGACGGATACTCCTGTTTGTTCTCGAGCGAACCCTCTGTGCAAACGCCATCGCCATTAAAGCCATCGCGCGCACACCAGCCGCAATGCGCATGCTCCAGACACGTTGAACAGTGGTCGTACACGTGACACGGCTCGGGGCAATGCGAAGTCTCATTCGCCTCCAGCACCAGTCCACAAACGCCACCGGCGCACAGTAGCGGCTGCGACTGTGGCGACAAACAGCTATTCAACATCGTCGACCATTTGCAGTCTTTGGGATTTTCGTCATAGTTGTTCAGGCAAGTGCTGCAGTTCTTATAGATGTGACACGGCATCGGACATTGTCCAATAATGCGATACTGATTCTGCTCCACAAGCTCCTTGGTAATGCACTCGATGGTGCCCAGTTCGCTCTGCGCCCACTCACAATTCTCATTCATAACACAAGCCTCACAGTACAGTGTATGGCACTGCGGCTGCGGACAGAGATTCAACAAGCCGACGCTGATTTCTTTATTGCACCAAGTGCTGTGGCGCTCGCAGTCCACACCGGCGGGCACGCAGCGTCCCTTTATGCCACATTCGTCGCACCACTGACACACTGGCGTTGTTTCAACGTGCGTCGGCCAGGAGGCCAAACACGCGCTGCACGTGGTGAAGGTAGAGCAATTCCGTCGCGCCATCCAAGCATCGTCACACGCCGCGCCATTATTGTAGATAAGCGTGCCGTTGTGGTGTTCGCACACGCCAGAATCGCCTTCGGAGAAGCAGTAGGAGGCCGAACTGTAGGTGCCCGTTACAGTGCAGTAGCTGCAGCCTTTGTGGTGGCGACACAAATACTTGCTCGCGCTCCACAGTTGGCAAATATCATCGGGCAAGTTTATGCGCGTCACATGACTCTGCGCGGCGCTGCCATCCCAGCCGCCAATTACATAGATAGCCTTGCTGTCGTGATCGATGGAAATCGCCTCGGCATACGTCGAATGCGGCAATATACCGACCACATGTACATCTTCTGTCAGCCGCACCCATTGATTGCAATCGTATATGTACGCAATCAGCACATCGTTGGCGTCATAGGGGTGAGTGCGTCCGCCATAGACAACCATGTACCGCTCAGTTGTGGCAGCCGAATGAAAGTAACGCGCGCGTGGCAGTAGCCCATCGGGCCGTGACAAATCTTTGAATGTCGGCAATTCAGTCCAAGTCATCTTCTGCAGATTCAGAGCATACAATTTATTCTGTGGCTCTGAAGAGTAACCGCCAAATACATAAAGTATATGCGAATCTGCATTGTACACAGTGCTGTGGCCGTACAGCACTGGCATGCGCACGCCCAACGCTAATAACTGCTCCCAGCGGAATGTCTCCAAATTGAATTCCCACAACTCCAGCTGTCGCGACTTGTTGCGCGTCATGCCGCCAATTAGTATAAGCGATTCGCGTTCATTATACCTTGTCTGCGTCAGCGTATGACCAGCTAAAGCTGGTGGCTTTTCGCGGCGCTGCAACAACTCGATCTCGCTCCAGCGTTGATTTTGTATGGAGAACTGCCAGAAGTCGTCTAGTATCAGCTGCGAAGTACGCTCTTCCTGCTCACCGCGTATGCTAATGCCGCCATAAATGAAAATAATCTGCTTTTTCAAGTATATTTCTGAGGCGTGGAAATAGCGGCCAAGTGGCATTTTGTCGTCCGGCGTCGATTCGACAGTCACCTGCATCCATGTGCCATTCTTAGCATCGAATTGGCGGAAATCGTTGAGCGGCCCATGTGATGGCGAGTAACCACCAAACATCCAAAGCGAACCACGACGATCGGCATTCACCGAGTGTCCAAAGCGCGGTATTGTTTTGCGCAAGTGTTCGTAGGTGTCGCTCAGCAGTAGCGTGTTGAAGAGATCTGTAACGACGAGGTGATTTGGCTTGACGAGCGTGCCACAATCCGGTCCTGCGTAGCTACTATTGCAAATGCAGCGCCCATAATCGGTGTCGCAATAGCCCTGCATACGCTTGGCATTACAATTTTTCGGACAAATTTCGATTTCACAACGCGCGCCCACATATCCGGCTGCGCAAACGCAGCGCTGTTGCTCATCGCAAATGTGCGGATGTAGGCAAGTGCGCGCAGCGCAATTTTTCACANCAATTTTTCGGACAAATTTCGATTTCACAACGCGCGCCCACATATCCGGCGGCGCAAACGCAGCGCTGTTGCTCATCGCAAATGTGCGGATGTAGGCAAGTGCGCGCAGCGCAATTTTTCACGGTGTAAAGCGCATTGAAGCCGAACTTTTGACGATCGCCGCCTTGCTTGTAGTAAACCGTAACATGGCTCGAGCGCGCTTCGACAATGTGTGTAGCAGTGTAGGGCGAACAAACCACAGATATTAGCTGATTTTGCTGCGTTACGCCCGTGAGATCGGGCAAACTATCGTATATGTAGACAGCATTTTCATCACAGTCCATTGACAGGCTGGGCCATTCAAACTCCAATTGCAGCAGTGACTTTTCGGCCTGCAAAGTTTTCGGTGATAGTATCCACAAGCACTCGCGTACTTCCAAACTTGCGCCCCACGGATTTTTATAGGACTGATATGACCCAATACCGCTGCGTCCAATATTGGTCAACATGCCGCGTGATTCGCACTGGAAATAGCATTGCCCGCCGTCGCGCGGATCGCCGTAGTAGCCATTGGCGCACTGATCGCACTTTAAACCCTCTGTGTTGTCCTTGCAGTAGCACTCGCCGTTGCCTACATTGCAAATGCCCAGATCCTGATTGCCGTGTCCATTGCATTCGCAAGGATGACAGCCATCGGCTGATGTGGCATTGCCGTAGCTACCCTGGCGACAACGCTCACAGCGTTCACCCTCCGTCCACGCCTGGCACTGATCGCATTTACCGACGCGCTCCACACAGGTTGAATGATTGTTGCAGCCGCAGTTGATAGAGCAGTCAGTGCCGGTCCAGCCCAGTTCGCACTTGCACACATAATCCGGTGGACCCGAACAATAGCCGTTCACACAGTTCTCATAGCAGGTCCGCACGCAGGACAATCTACCATCACCGACGTAACCGCGTCGACAATGACAATTATAAGAGCCATGCGTATTTGTGCATTTCGCTTCTTTATGGCAATCGTGCAGTCCCAATCCACACTCGTCGACATCCGGGCACTGCGCGTACGCCCACTCGGCGTCATGCAGTGTAGGACTATTCAACGCCAGCGAACAATTGCTAAATGATCTGCTGAAGTCACCCTGCATGCAGACACCTTCGATGGGGTTGTCGCGGTCAAAGCACCAACCGCAGCTAAGCGTGCGCAGGCAGGATGAACAGTTGTTATACAAAGCGCAGGATTTACACTGCGTTGCGGGTTGCTTTTGTGCCAATTTTGGCTGTTGCTGTATATTGGTGGCAGTACCACCGCGTGCGGCAGGCCCGAAATCCATGATGCGCTGTGTATCGTTCGAAACAATTTGGTCCAACCACTCGCGACACATGCCAAACTGATATTCACTGGTGTAAACGGCAAAACTAAAACATTGCGCGCTTGCCTCGCACCACACACAGCGGCCACGTTCATTTAGACACTGGTCGCATGACTTGCGCAAGCGGCATGGCATGGGACACATCGATGTATTGCGTACGCCATGTTCGGATTTGCCAAAGCGTGCACAGCGCGCCTCTTCTGTCCACCATTCGCAAAGACCGGACGTAACGCATTCATCGCAGGAGACATAATTGGAACAATTGGCGCATTGGCTGGGTTGTGTAATGAGATACTCCCAGTAGTCGACGCTGTCCGCTGATGTTGAAGTGGCGGCGAGTGAACAGACTTCAGTCTCATTAACCGTTTTGTCGACACACTTCGAAGTTAAGCCGCACCAGGCGCACGACGAATCGGTCAAACAGTGCAGGCAGTTGCTGTATTGTGTGCAATTGCCGGAGTAATAAGGCTCTAGATATTCGAAGGTAAAAGCATTTAGATTTCCATGATAAATATGTTGCAATTCCATTTTCGTCTTTTGATAAGCATTATACAGTGTAGAGAGACCGACACGCCTACGTGCTTGGAAATCTATAAGGAAAGGTTGATCTGTGCTGGGAATTTCAACGGGACCGCAATACGACTGATTTGTGGAACGATTGGTCAATTCCTTGAGTGATTCTAAGTTTTTGCTCAAACCTGCGCGTAATATAGCTGTGGAATAGCTGGTGCAGACCTAAGAGTATAGAAGGCAATAGAAAGATATATGTAGATTTTCAAGCTAATTATATCACTCACTTGTATTTCGGACGGTTCTTCCCAAGTCTTTTGTGGTCTCACAAAACCCAGCAGGCGTGCCAACATTTCTCCCTCCGTCTTTTGTTCGTATTGCGTGGTAGGCGGAGGCGAACCAAAGTCTACCATTGTCGCATTTACGATAGATACAAAATCGGGCATTGTTAAATTAACAGGATGATGGTATTTAATGTACGTAAGACCGGGACGCTTATCATTGCTGGTGCACAGCGAGGGACGGCGTATTTCGGTGCCCTTTTCGCCCCACCAACCCGGACTATGTGACGGTGTATCCTCACCGCATATGCCATAATTGTCATCACGATGATGGCATTTCGCGTTCTGAACGCACCAAGTGCATTCGTTCAGCCCCAATTTGCTGGCGACTGAGAAGTAGTGATCTGTTTCGGCATGCCACTGTGTTCCATGTACCAGGCATGAATGACAATCTCCCAGCGAGGGGCATATACCGGGACAACGTGTGGTTTGTAGATTTGTGGTGCAATTAGCGCCAATTGTGCGTCCATAACAGCTACTGTCAGCTGAACACCAACCGCACTCGGGATTAGATAAACATGCTGTATGTGAAGTATGGAACCGGCATGACATTTCTGGATTGTAGCCATGATTTTGTACGCGTAATACTTGTGGCAGTTCATAAGCGAAGAGATCAGCATTGACATTCCCGTGATAACCGCCAACAATCAACAATGTATTATTACGCCTTAATGCAGCTGCATGTGCGAATACACCTTGTTTTTTCGGATACAAGTTTTCATCAGCCGACACCACTTGATTGATCCAAATGTGACAGCTGAGATGATACCAGTACATTTGATTGTCATAGCAGATTTCATCTTTGTTGTGACGATGCGTATAGCCACCGAAAACGATCATATAATTTCCGGAAATGGTGGCGGAATGGAAAGCGCGTTCATGCGGAATGTTTGTGTCGCGTAAGGCAGTGCGCGGGTAAAGTATTTCGGTCCAATGCAATTTATCTAACTGGAATGCGAATATTCGGTCGGAGAGTTTGGAGAAACGCGCCAAACTCGACATAATGCCGCCGAAAACAATTAAGGAATTTGTTGCGCTATAGTACACCGTACTATGAGCAGCGAGACGCACATCTAATGATTTGCCACCGCGAGGGTGAACAAATTCCCATTGACCATCGTCATCATCCTCATTAACGCCTTCAATATATACAGTTTCTCCGCTGCTGGTTGCATCCTCCATAATAGGAGATTTAATTTTGTTATAAATGGGCAGACGTAATCGATAAATTCTAAATGTTGAAAGATACAAAAATGCGTTATCAATATTTATGTATGCAATTTTTTTTATGGAAAAAAATGTGCGACACCTTCAACAAAAAAATTTGCCAAAAATCAATGGTAAGTCCTAGCTTCCTCATACTTGCATTATTAATTTTGCACAATTTTTATAAAAAAATTTTATAAAAAATTAGTAACAAATAAAATATTTAAAAAATAGTTGTTCGTATTGTAAAAAATTCGCTGTACCCAAACTTCATTGTCTGACTGTTTGTAACTATCCATAAAATGTAATTTGAATAATTTTTCGCTTACTTTGATGAAAATTCCCCGGTTTCCAGGCTTCCACCGAATAAATATAGAAATTCGCCAGCCAATGTAATTGTATGACGTGCAACTTTTGGTGGCACCAGCTTTGATTTGCGTGCCCATTGCTTCCACTTACCACCGCTTTCGGTGCTATTATAAAACCATAAATCATTGAAAAAACTTCCATTCGCATTTTTACCGCCATATATTACGAAGCCGCCTAAAATTATAAACATCATAAATATAACATGTATTTTCCACCTTTTGCTATATTGCTCTATACCTGGTACACGATCTGCTGCATGTCCATATCGACCTTCAGGTTTATTATCTGTAACCTCTTCTAAGATATCATCAAAATATTCAGGAATTTGGTCATTTGTCGTATTAGCGCTCACATCCGCAATAAGCTGAGATGATCGTGTGCGCCGTTGATGCAAATTAGATTCGGCAAGTGTATATAGAATGTTTCGAAAAAACGAAACATCGCTATTTAGACCCCATAGCTTAGCCTCATCCTCATTTTTATGTTGTAAAACAGCTTTAAGCAGAGTCGCGTTTATTTTTTGTGAATAATTGTGATCTTGCAGTAATAAACCCCACTCATCCACCCACTGACTGCTGCTGAAGCGATAAACCTTAGAAAAAAAATATTGTGTGGAAATGTTATAAGATGAGTTATTAATTTGACTTTGACTTACTTGTAGGGAATTTATAACGTTATTTAAGTCGTAACCGCCAAATACATAGAGAGCATCCTGTTCTTCGAGATATATGGCAGTGTGGGCAGCGCGCGGAGTCATGCCCTCTGCATCTGTGGCCAGCCAACGCCAGTTTCCGCCCGGTGGATTGATATACAAATCACATAACCGGCCGCTGAATCCCTGTCGTGTATAAAATGTGATACAATGAAAACAGATGAAATAATTTTCATGCATATGTTTTAAAGTTTTATTTACCTCCTCGCAGTGACAAATGCCTTTGACGCATTTTCCACGCCCTTGCGATTCACCGCACTTATTGGGACAAGCTTCATTTTCGCAGTCGGGTAGGACCCATTCTCCATGACATACGCACTGATGACCAACACATTTTCCATGATTGTGGCAATTATTCAAGCAATTTGATATGTAATAGGAAGCTCTAAAACCATCGAGCACGTAGTTCGTGTCACTGTACATTAGTATGAGCATCTGAAAACGATTGTCAATTTATCAAACCTGCAAAGGCTCAATGAAACAAACAAATACTAACGCTTCCACTCCTCGCTACCAAACGCTGTGGTTGCGTACGCCCACTAAAGCTGCCTAACAGCGTTGAATTGAATGAGTCTCCATCATACACGTAAATGTAATCATATGAGCACTCTGTTCCCATGCTATGAAAGGTTAGTGTAATAAATTGGCTATCGTTGCGAGCCTTTATTAACCACTCGCAATGCGAGTCCTGCGTGTAGTTAAAACCAGCCGGACCATCACTTATTTCTCCGTACGGCTCGGTGAAAACCTTTCGACTGCGATCGCACGGTGCATGATGCTGTAAATGCGGCGCTACAGGTAATAAAGAGATACGATCCGCCTGCGTCTCACATCGTTGGTTTGTACAAACACAAAGCAAAAACGCTATAGTTATTACGCTGCGAACGCGTATGAATGATTCTGTTCTTATATTTAGCATTTCATTAGCATATGAATACTAATTACACATAAATTAATTTGCAAGTACTAAATAAATTCAACGCCATTTTACATGAGACTGGCAGCGCCCTGACGCTATAGCATGAAAATCTTTAAAAACACTAACACTACTTGCTTATAACATAATTTAGTTATTGCACTTTACTATATTTTGTTGCACTTTATCACACCATTTCACTAAAATGCAGTTTTATCGTTATAAAAGTTAATTTTTTCTCATACACAAGCGACTGCTGAAAATTTCACGGACGTCAAAACAACTTTTGGAGTTGTTGACATTTTAATTGTGACTTTAATCAAAACAGTTCACAATGACAATGGTTTGGACGAACAAAAATTTTATACCATACACACCTTATTCCGGGTCCATCGTAGAAAATCTACGAATAGGATAGCTGCGGGTATGAAAACAATTAGCTCGTAATCTAGATGTACGTTCTTTGCGATAACGGAATTATCGTGGTGNTCTACGAATAGGATAGCTGCGGGTATGAAAACAATTAGCTCGTAATCTAGCTTANTGGTTTGGACGAACAAAAATTTTATACCATACACACCTTATTCCGGGTCCATCGTAGAAAATCTACGAATAGGATAGCTGCGGGTATGAAAACAATTAGCTCGTAATCTAGATGTACGTTCTTTGCGATAACGGAATTATCGTGGTGACAAGCTTAATAGTTTGCTGATAATGGGTATATAAGCTTTACAGGAAGTTCATAGTTTATAAAATTACCAAGTACCAAATAGCAGTTTACCAAAATTGCCAAATGGGGGTGACGGGTCATATACCATGAACCAAAAATACAAGATCACGCAAGAACGCCACATTGTATTTGTAACTGGGGGTGGGGTTTAGTACCGCTCACAACTATTTCGGGCTATTCCGTCCAAATGGGTGGCCCGATCCAAAAAAAAATTTCACACACTTGTAGTCAAGGGTCCACGCAATATTTTAACACTCACTTTTGTAAATTTTGGTTACTAATTTATTTACAAATTGGGTTTGAAATATGCCCTTTTTTTGTAAAATTCTGAAATTAGCGTACATTTATCACTCCTATTCTGCTTAAATTAGCCACTTCACCAATATATTTTTGTATTCCCCTTCACTTTACACTTTACTTGATTTGATATAACTTGCTTTACGACTTTAATATTAACCAATTCATCACAATTCATTAAATAAAAACACCTTCAAAATCACGCGTCTGACTTTGGTTGCATATGCAAATTAAATGGCGGAGTTCAGCTGTCAAACTCCAAAATATGCAAAAGAATGAGAGACAAAAGAAGATAGGATATAACCCAGTAAGCATTAAAAATATACAAAGGTGTTCTCTGCAAAAGGTGTTCAGCTCCTTTTCTTCGCAAAACAGAAAGGAGAATTCTACTGCCTGAGGGTTATAATCCCTAAGTGCGGCCGAAGGCCGCCTACGCAGAAAGGTGTTCTCTGCAAAAGGTGTTCAGCCCCCCTTCTTTGGCAACACAGAAA